AAGAAAGAAAGAAAGAAAGAAAGAAAGAAAGAAAGAAAGAAAGGAAGAAAGGAAGAAAGGAAGAAAGAGAAAGAAAGGAAGAAAGAAAGAAAGGAAGAAAGAAAGAAAGAAAAGAAAGAAAGAAAAGAAAGAAAGAAAGAAAGAAAGAAAGAAAAGAAAAGAAAAGAAGAGAGAAAAGAAAAGAAAGGAAGAAAGAAAGAAAAGACTATCCAATCTGATGATGTGGTTGATGATACCAGTAAACTGAAGCAAAATTCTTTCAAGAAACCCTAACAACAGGAGCTCCATGAGATCTTTATTAGTTTCCTGGATTGTCTAACAAGGAAATTGGGAGTTGCTATAAGCCTAAATACTGGGACTTTGACAAAATTATTTAAAGAGATACCAGTCTGGTCAACATTTTAAAATATAGACACTAGGTTGATGGCTTTATTTTCAACAGTATTCTTGACTGAACCAAATAAACTATCACATATTTATTTCCCTTTTAGACCTGGTTCTTAGATATTTTGTGTTGACCAAAAAGTAAATAACTTTTAGATACCTACCTAAGAAACCATCAGTATACAAGAGGGATATATACCTAAAGAAGGTCTGTCTCTCTGAACATCTGACAGCATCTTTGAAGTTAATGTGTTTAATGTGTTTATGAACTTTATTAAGTTAATGTGTTTATTAAATGCTACCAGCCTGTTCAGTTTTAAGTCTCAAACAGGTCAAATCCTCTCTCAATTTAAATGTTACCAAAGTTTATAAATGCATACATACACAAGTATAAAAATACATTTGAATATGTATATATATATCCACATACATGTAGAAATGTTTGTGCATATAAAAATATTTATGCATTAAATATATAAAATATATATTACAAAATATAAAGTAGAGATAAACATCTACATCCTAGGGCAGGTATAGGGAGCCATGATCTGCTTTTAGCATGCAATTAGAAGTTGTATCAACCAACCTTTTCAAAACTATCTGCAGCATCTGTGTGGAAGTTCCAGGACTCTGAATACTACTAGCATTAGATACCAGGAAGATCTCAACAGCTAAAAGCATTTCAATCTCAGATAAGTAAGAAGGAATCAGTAGAAGTTTTCGATATAAATTTCCCTCCAATGGTGGATAGCAACCCAATGAAAGGGCACCTAGAAATCAAATAATAGATCAAATTTTACTAAAACCCCAACAGGTGAAATGCAAGGCTTCCAAAATATCCACAGGTGATAATTACTTACATCACAGAATGATTCTTCACATTAGTAGGTTTATTATACAAATTATATGGTAGTAAGTTTATCCTAATACATGTTAAATTATTCTTTGTAAAATACTTTTGAAACATTAAACATGAAGTAAAAATATATATTTAAAGGACTCTCCTAAAAATGACTTTTGAGCCTCATCGTGGCAACTGCCCATTTATTTCAAGCCATAGTCAATTCAACATAATTTTAGAATAACTAAAACACCAAAATAGTGACATGGGTTTTGTTTTAATAGGATCTAGTTTATCAGCAGCTATATAGATTTGTAATTATTGCCTATCTTGAATTATGAATTCAAAATGTAGAAAAAAAGTAATCCTAATTTGAAGATTTTGTCACATCGATACTACACTATTTGTTAGCACTTATTTAAAGTGCTGTTACAGTCTGTATAATAAACATGTACTGTTCTAACCACAAGAGACTCTTAACGATAAGAGAACAAACTGAGGGTTGATGGAGGGAGGTGAGTGGGTGATGGGCACTGAGGAGGGCACTTGCGATGAGCACGGGTGTTGTATGTAAGTGATGAATCACTGAATTCCACTCCTAAAGCCAATACTCCACTGTATGTTAACTAAAATTTAAATTTAAAAGAATAATAAAATAAAAATGGATAAAACACATTTAATGTTCCTATTCTATGTCTGGCATTGAGCAGCACTATCTAGATATAAAATAAAATACATTATCTTAAAATATGTATTATTCCTGTAGATTATCAATGTGTTGTAGCTATACTGACCAAGTAGTGTTCTAAAAATTTTACTTTTCAAGAAAAGAGATTTAACTTTTAAACTGTTTAGGTGCTTATTACAAATGATATATAGGGAAAACCCCTTAAGTCTTAGGATATCCAAACTGTATATAACCACTATTATACTGTCATATTTCACTGAAACCAATTTAAACCTGTATGTAAAATTTGTTTAAAATGTTTTGTTAAGATATGCTTCTTTAGGGGCATCTGGGTGGCTCAGTTGATTCAGCATCTGACTTTGGCTCAGATCATGATCTCACAGTTCGTGGGTTCAAGCCCGGCATCAGGTTCTGTGCTGACAGCTCAGAGCCTGGGAGCCTGCTTCAGATCCTGTGTGTTCTCACTCTCTCTGCCCCTCATGCTTGAGGTCTCTCTCTCTCTCAAAAATGAGTAAACACTTGAGAAAAAAAAAAAAAGATAAGTTTCTTCAAGAAATCTAATGAGGATGATGACTGCTAATCTCTGAGGACCTACTATGTGCCAGGTACCTGTGTTAAACACAAAGGTTTTACCTCATTTTAACTGACAGTACTACCTTTGAAATCAGGCATAGTGACTCCCACATTAGGTGAAGGGCTTTGGCAATTACCCCAGCCTTCTGACTCCAGATTTTGGATTCCTAACTACTAGGTAGTTAATGACCAATGTCCCTAGGTCACTTGCAGGACTAACATACTATGGACTCATTAACTTTCTTACTGTTGATAGGTATAATTTACATACATTCTTTACTTTTTTTACTTTGTTGAACAGAAGAGGAAAACAATAAACGGAGTAGAAATTTACCAACATTAGTTTTTCCTCTAAAAACAAATATGAAAAGAAAAATAGCCCCAATTGGTTTTAGGGGAGGGAAACATCATGTAAAGACACACTAACATCTCCCCTTCCTGACTTTTTGGCTGAGAGGAAAAATCAGTATTTTTAGGACTAGGGAGAGCAAATCAGGAGCATCAGGAAGGCAACTATACTGTCCCTGGACAGTTTCTTTCTGCTTAGTTTGAAAACAAAAGTGGAGCCAAGCCATTAAGAAAGTGAAAGACAACTGACAGAGTAGAAAAAAATATATTTGAAATTCATGTATCTGACATGGGACTTGCATCCAGAGTATATATATCTATATGCATATCATGTGCGTGTATTTTTAAAACTCAGTAATAAAAAATTGTTTTTAAATGTGCAAAGAAAAAAATGGTAAAGGATTTAACAGACATTTCTCCAGGGAAAATACATAAATGGCTAATAAGTACTTGAAAAAGTGTTCAACATCATTAGTCATTAGGATCATGCAAATCAAAACCACAATAAGCTATCACTATATTCACAGGAAGGCTAAAATAACACAGTATAACAAGTGTTGGTGAGGATGTGAAGAAACTAGAAATCTCAAATTTGGATCATGGGTAAATAAATATAAAATGATGCAGCATCTTTGGAAAAGCAGATGTGGCAGTTCTCAAAATGCTAAAAACATAGGTTTATCATATGAGCCAGAAATTCTGATCCAAAGAGAAATAAAAATATATGTCCACACAAAAATTTTTATGTGAATGGTTGTAGCAGTGTTATTAATAATAACCAAAAAGTAGAAATAATCCAAATGTCCATCAGAGGATAGATGGACAAATTCCATACAATGGAGTATTATTCAGCTATGAAAAGGAATGAAGTATTAATACATGCCACAACACGGATGAACCTTGAAAATATTATACTAATTATAAGAAGCCAGTCATAAAACACTACATATTGAATGATTTCGTTTATGAGAAATGCCCCAAATATGCAAACCTACAGATAGTCAATTAGTTGTTGCTTGGCCAGCAGGAGGCATCCAGGGAATGCTAATGTACTTCTTTGTCTGGAGGCGCTGGAGATGTTCTAAAATTACATTGTGGTGATGGCTGCACAATTCTGTGAATATAATAAACACTAATACATTGTCTAAATGGCTGAATTTTATGGTATGTGAAATTATTTCAATAAAGCTATACAAAATACTAAAAAACAAGAAAAACAAAAGGCATTGGCACCAGTCTTAACAGTGCCTCGATGAAAAAGCCATCAGCCCCAAATCAAGTGCTACTAGACTGATTATAAGGCTCTTCTAGAGTGTTAACCATGTGTGAAGATAAATCTAGAGAGTTCCAATGATATTTGAAATGTCAGCATTGTCAGGTCATAAGATGTTTTTGAAGACTGATCAGTGAATATAAATTACTCATTTCCTTTTATAACTCAGGTACATTAAAAATACCCCAAATACTCTTAGCCCTATACCTCACCTAAGTCCCAGAAGTTCACTACATATTAAATTAGGCATTAAGTGTATTTAAATTATTATTATCATTTTTAATTTTAGAAAGAGCACAAGTTGGGGAGAGGGGGAGAGGGAGAAGGAGGGAGGGAGAGAGGGAGGGAGGGAGGGAGGGAGAGAGGGAGGGAGGGAGGG